TTTTTTTTACTATTTAAAAAGAAAGTTTATGTTACCGGCAACATTCACGAATGCCTTTTTCCATAGCTTCTCCACTTCTCATTAATGATACACATAAGATTCCTTTTTCATGACGTAAACCCTCAAAACAATGACCAGTTGGTGTTATAATCTCACAAGGTAAATACGATAATTGATTCAATGCAGCCTCAACAGTTAAACGTATAAGACGATCAGCATAAAATTTAAAATCGCTTCGAGAAGTTGCACGATCACGTATAAGTGTATGAAGTTCCCGTAATTGATTATTTGTTTTCATAATATTTACATTTGCGGAATATTGTTCATTATCACTTTCTTCTGTATAGGAATGTGTTGTGAGATTATCTGTATTACTATCTACGCTAGACATCTGAAACATAAGAAATATTAAATAAGAGATAGCAATGATTTCCTTTCCTTTCAGTTTTCTGCAGTATGTATACAAAAATCACACGTAAAAAATTATGAAAAACTTATGTCAATCGCTCGAATAATGGTAAGGTTATTCACCTTTTTTTTCTCGCAGACTATTGCGAAACCCTGGATATATATATATATATACTACAAACAGATGTACCTGTACTTTGCACTTTTGACTCGAAATATATAAACAAAACAAATTTTGCTAAGAAGGTCAACTAGTTATGATAAGTGTTTACATACCATTATATTGTCGTGTGATAAAAAAGTAAAGGATATTGAAAATACCTTTATTGTTTAAATTTATTTCAAATTACGATAGACATTTCAAAATAGTAATGCTCCTTCATAAAACTAAAATACTAAGTAAACGTAGCAAAGTAGTATTAATATCAATGAAAATAAATAATACTTCAAATACAAAGAATCATATTGTTTTGTATTTCAAGTGCAAACTATAGGCTTTTATACTTAACTATAAATAAATCACATGAATATTTATACTTTTACTTTTTACTTGAAAAAGTACGCAAAGTCTAGATATACATATTTTTCTCTTTTTAGGTCTATCTCATATTAAGAAAGAGAAAAACGTTATAGGTATTTTATATTCATAATTGCACGTACAATCAAATGAAGCACATTTTTTCTGACAGTGAAAGATATGCCCTATCTACTGAATAAGTACATTTATCAAATTAATATTAATTTGTTTGGTTTATGATATAAAATTATCTAAAATTCAATAATAAACGTATATATATTTCTTTTAAAAAAAAATGTGTTACACACAAATGATAATAATCGTTAATTATACCTATAGAATAGCGACAGTTGGTTTACGAAAGAAAAAGAGAGAGCGAAAAAAAACAGATTTTATAAAAGGCATACAGGATGGATTTTCTTTTCATTAGTAGGAGAAAAAGAAAAGATTTCATCACAATGCAATATTGCACAATGAATTAGATAAAGGAAGTTAAATCACTGTTGGTATGTTGCGGTTTAATTATTGTTTCGAATAATTTACACAGTTCGTCGATCAGTTAAAACACGTACAATTGATCCAAGTCCAGTAGCTGCAAGAACCTATAAACACAAGACAATTGAGATTTTTATCAATAATAATATCAAACCTTTTCATGCCATGTTAATAAAGCACTACTAGAATAATCTTTAGGATTTTCAAAACCTTTATAAACATATTTCATTAATGTATCACGTAATGGTGCAGGAATTGAATTAACAGCATCGGCTATTTCATTTGTTTTAATTTTCATCATTGTTGATAAAGCCATATGTGATGCTTTTTTCTAAAAGAAATATTATTTAGCAACGCATTCAGTCACAAATCCGAATTAATGATACATACTTTTTTTTCTAAATCTTTAGCACGAACTGGTGCATTCTGAAGAACATATTCCAAAGCACGAACATATTTCATACTTAAAATATCAATACGATCTATACTTAGAACAAATAATAATTATGTACATACTCATCGATAAACTTTTTCCATTCATTTTCATCAGGTTCAACAACATTCGTTAATAAATCATCATCTTTATCTTCTATATGATTTGTCATTTTTATCTAAAATAAAATAAATTTAATTCAAACTATTTTCTTTTCATCAATCATTTTATATTTTGAATTTTCGACTTGTTCATTCGAACATATCAAAGTATCAATAAATAATTAACACAAGAGAAAGGTAAGAATGAATGAGTCATGAAGATAACCGCTATTAGCGATATCTATAATAAATTTAAAAAATATTTTTAAAAATTATATTTTCATCAGAGATTATTGTAAAAATATTTTCCAAAGATATTTTTTTGATAATATTTTCTTTCGATTTAAATTATATTATTGGTTTATACGATTGAACAGTAATGAAGAATCAAACCAGAGACCCGCGGTGTGCGATATCGGTATCGTACCGTACCAGGAAGAGACGGTATCCGATAGCTATAACGCTCTCCCGTGTCGTTGCAAGAACTCTTTTGATAATGGTTTTCAAAGGCATTTATTGTATATTGTTTATATATATCAACCTTTACGCGTAACGTGTCACCTCAAAAGTGGCAGTTTTTAGGGATACTTTTGAGGATTTTACATCACCACCATCCAAATCACATCCCGAAGTGTATCAAAACTCTTTGATTTTTATTAGCACATATGATTAATCATATCTGTCATCTTTTAACACATATTTCTCGAGTTCGTAGTAAAAAATTATGTGGAATATCTGTCTAGATCATGTCATTGTCACATCTCACAGGTCGAATCAATACAAAATAAATTTAAACCAGCTCGGGCTGACGGCGAACATGCTAGCACATATCTTACTATATGAGGCAAAGTTCTAAAATGAAATCTCGTTTTCTCACAGTTTTATTTACAGTAAACTACAGCGTACAAAAAAATTAGCTGTGTCATCGCGTTACATTCATACAAGCGGTCTTTCATAGGAATGAAATGTACTTTTTAATATAGAATATATTGTACGAATGAAGACGAATAATCACCTCACTCTCAATTCTATGGTCCATTTTCGCCATCGTGTTATGCTCGGTATTCTTGATTTAATATTTCTACAACTTATTCAAACAAACTCATATTTTCAAAGATTGTTGGAGAGGCAGAAGTTCACCTTAAAACGAAAGAGTGAATATTTTAGTTCATATATGGAGGCAGAAAAACTGATAAAAATGTGGGCAAAACGTCATCACGTTACGCTCGTACAAACTGATGTATGAAATTGTTTTTATTGATGTGCTCATAGTTTATATATGAAATACCACAAACCATAACCGGTTTGAAAACAAGCTAAAAATTTCTTCTGGCGGTACGGTACGGTAGAGTACTAACGAAAGCGGTACACGGTACGAGACGGTATCAAATTTTTGCAATACCGCCGGTCTCTGATCTATAATGATAAACCGAACGGTGAGTATTTAGTTACACTAGGACGACAGATAGGAGTGAGGTAGCGAAGGAGTGGATGATGGTAACAGAAAGCTGCTGTCTATTTAGATCATACGGCCAGATACGGACCGAAAAGGGTGCGTATTTTAACCGTATACGGCTTTATAGATTCCGTTATTGCACCATTTATCGACCGTTTTCGGATCGTAATCGGCTCCGTTTTCATAGACCCGGGTACTCTCATGTATAAAACGGCAAAAAGAACGCCGCGTTTCCGTTCCGGTGAAACTACATATATAAATCTGGGTATACGGATTACGTTGTTAAACGGCGAGAAACGATATTCGTTTACAGCCGTTTTCTGCCTTAAACGGCGTTCGGAATCATCGACCTGGGATGGTCAAATTGAAAGAAATATTCATCATGAACAATTAAAACGGCAATTAGAAGAAAAACCAGCTTTGAAAGAAGATGAGATTGAAGTACAACTGGCAAAGCCTTATAATTTAATTCAAGAGAAATTTCAAGTGAACATACGTGATTTAAGATCACTCAAGAGAGACCGAAATGCAATTGCACATACTCGAAGAAAATCCGATGTTGAACAACGAGCACTCATCGAAAAAGCCCGTCGTATAAACATGCCTTCTGATTTTAAACATAAAAAAGTTTTTTATACTATAATTGATGAACTTGATGGGAAATTCCATCGAATGTCATAGATTTTAATAAAAACGTTTTTTTCCTTGTCGAACATCATGGTTTACTTTATACTATCAACAGCACCAAATCGAATGTCGGAACTAAGATAAATACCAAAGATTGGAATAGAAGAACCATTCTTAGGAAATATATAGATTTTACAATATGTGATGGACATTGACAAGTATTATCCACACATCTCAGATATCGACTTCGTTGGAAAATTGAACAAGGTTGTCCACGATTGATGAAATCCTCTAGGTGAAATTCGATTGAACTATACCTTCGAACAGGCGACAACGATGTGACTGATCATAATAATCAAAGATACGACATTGTGTAGTTAAGTGACATATTTGAGAGCAATATATAAAGAATTTAGCAGTAGTTTCAAATCAAAGAAAAGCTTATTGATCTATTGGAGAGAATTCCAAACCATTACTGAATAAGTTTGTAGATGATTGCCAATCAACAGATGTGGTTTGAAGTTCGAGTTGCGGCAAGGTGCATCCGATTAGAATATATATATATTTCGATTTGAGCAATTATAAACAATGT